TATTTTGGAGTTGGATTTTGGGGTTGTTTGTGGGGATTTTGGGGTTGGATTTTGGGGCCATTTATGGGGATTTTGGGACCATTTGGGGTTGGATTTTGGGGCCATTTCTGGGCATTTTGGGACCATTTGGGGTTGGATTTTGGGCCCATTTCTGGGCATTTTGGGCCCATTTGGGGAGAAATTTTGGGACCATTTGGGGTTGGATTTTGGGGCCATTTCTGGGGATTTTGGGACCATTTGGGGAGAAATTTTGGGACCATTTCTGGGGATTTTGGGGCCGTTTGGGGAGAAATTTTGGGGCCATTTGGGGTTGGATTTTGGGGCCATTTATGGGAATTTTGGGACCACTTGGGGTTGGATTTAGGGGCCATTTGGAGTTGAATTTTGGGGCCATTTGGGGTTGGATTTTGGGGTCATTTACGGGGATTTTTGGGAGGGATTTTGGGGTCATTTGGGGTTGGGATTTGGGGTCATTTCTGGGGATTTTGGGGCCATTTGTGGGGATTTTGGGGAGGGATTTTGAGGCTATTTGGGGAGAAATCTTGGGACCATTTGGGGTTGGATTTTGAGGCTGTTTGGGGAAGGATTTTGGGACCATTTGGGGTTGGATTTTGGGGCAATTTATGGGAATTTTGAGGCTGTTTGGGGTTGGATTTTGGGGCCATTTATGGGAATTTTGGGACCACTTGGGGTTGGATTTTGGGGTCGTTTACGGGAATTTTGGGGCAATTTGTGGGGATTTTGGGGAGGGATTTTGAGGCCATTTGGGGTTGGATTTTGGGGCAATTTATGGGAATTTTGAGGCTGTTTGGGGGTTGGATTTTGGGGTTGTTTGTGGGGATTTTGGGGTTATTTAGGGAGAAATCTTGGGGTCATTTGAGGTTGGATTTTGGGGTTGTTTGAGGAAGGATTTTGGGGCCATTTCTGGGCATTTTGCGGCCATTTGGGGAGGGATTTTGGGGTTGTTTAGGGGGATTTTGGTGCCATGTTTGGTTGCATTTTGGGGCCATTTGGGGTTGGATTTTGAGGCCATTTTTGGTTGGATTTTGGGGCCATTTGGGGAAACTTTCTGGGGTCGTTTACGGGAATTTTGGGGTTGGATTTTGGGGCCATTTGGGGTTGGATTTTGGGGCCATTTCTGGGCATTTTGGGCCCATTTGGGGAGAAATTTTGGGACCATTTTTGGTTGGATTTTGGGGCCATTTGGGGAG